ATTTAAATCTTGTATCAAGGGGATAAATAAAGCCCCTCACCCCTCGGCGCTCTTGCTGCTGTGCCCGCCGTCTTTCAGGTACATGGAGAAATCGATGACACCGACCTGAGGAGGAAAAACAATCAAACTTAAAAACAGTTTCAATATTTCCAATGTTTTCCTGAGTTATGAACATTTTTGTGTTAAAGTCAGTCAGCTGTGGCAGCCATCTTGAATCAAGTTGACTCCAAAGTTCATTAAAATCTATTTGGTGGTAAAGAATCACAAAAAAAACAGGAGCAAAATCGTTGTTTTCACTGCAGACTGCAGGTAATAACTGAAAACCACAGAGTTCAGCTCAGTTTCTATAAACATTCCAGCAGCAGGTTTCGCTTCATCTTCCTGAAATATTGTTTTTATTTGTTTGAACCGCTGACAGTTTATTCAGGCCTCGTCTCAGATTAAAACCAGACTCAATCTGAGGGATTAATCTTTCCTAAACTGACTAAATCTGAAGTTGGACCCACCTGAGAGTCCAGGTCCTCCCCCTTCATGCACAGGTTGGCGTCGATGACGTTGAGGCCGACGAGCAGGCCGGCGATGACGGCGCCCTCCTCCTCCATCATCAGGGCGTTGGGCTCGTAGAACTCACTGCAGAGAGACGAGATGTGAGCTGAGAGGACCCCCACAACCCCCCACACCCGAGATCCTAGACCCTGAGGCTCATCTCAAACCAACAGGAGAGCCACCTTCAAAATAAAAGCCCGTCCCTCACCTGAGCAGGTCTTTTCTGTTGATGATGGTCTTCATGTAGTCTGAGAGCTTCTTCTGCATCAAGGCCAGGCGCAACCAGGCCCGGCCCCGGCCCAGAGGGGTTCTGGTCCAGACACAAACCGGTTACAGTCCGCTCTGAAATTCAACAGAATCCTGGAGGTCCGCAGACCGGACTCACCTGAGTCCAGGCAGGTCCTTCACGCTGGCAGTGATCTCTCCTGCTTCAGGGGTCAGCTTCTCCACCAGCTCCAGCGGACCCCAGAAGGACTTGTTCTGGCCCAGGAAGGTCTTTTTAGCTGGTGGTTCACAGACAAACCGTAAGACTTCACCCTGCTGAAGGTTTTAGTCTGGTCGGGGGGACGGGGGGTACCTTTCAGGCCGTGCTTCAGGCAGTGCTCCATCACCACGAAGAACTGCTGCAGGGGGGCGTAGTCCGAGTCCAGTGTCCGGCCCAGGTTCAGCGCCGACTCGATCAGACCTTTGATGCTCAGTTTGGCCATGTTCATCAAGTTCAGCCTTTCGATGGCAATCGGATCTTTAGGATCTGAAACAACAAGCAGAAAAAAACTTAAATTATAAAAAATAACGTCGATTAACTGAGAGGTTTCCTAAAATAAAACAATAGAAGCTAAACGGTCCAGGCTAATTCCTGACATTTAATCCAGGAAGTAAACAGTTCTGGAAGCTGCAGGAACATAAATTATATAAAAACTGTTGACTCAGTTCAGCTGGGATTTAAAAACTGTTTTATAGACCAGTTTATGGTTTTATTATCTGTAAAGATGGATTATTACAGTTGTGTGTTTGTAATGAAGCTCCCAGGAGAAACAACAAAACAAAATCATTTTATTTAATTTTTAATGGTTTTTAAAAGCCCTGATGCCTTACAGATACATTTAAACATTTATTACTTTATTATGTTAAAGATCATCAACAATATCTTTATGGTAACTGTGACTCAGCAGTCAGTCATGTAGCAACACTGGAAGTAAATTCAAAATATCACCTGAAGCCTAATATTAGGAACTCAAAGTGATTCAAAGTGACAGAAGAAGGTTTCACCTCATCTCTTAACGTTCTTCATTAGTGCGGAGAAAAACGTGATACTGATGACAGAGACCATGTTGTGCTTCTGTTCAGGTTTAAAGCTTTAAAACCTCAGCAGACGATTCACAACATGAAACATTCACCTCTGCATCGTTTTACAGGAACTCTGTCGCCTCTGATCACAACTAATGTCACATTTTACACAGTTTAAATTACATTTTGCACAGTTTAAATTACATTTTGCACAGTTTAACTTAATTTTGCACAGTTTAACTTAATTTTGCACAGTTTAACTTAATTTTGCACAGTTTAACTTAATTTTGCACAGTTTAAGTTG